TAATGGAAATGCAAATGAAAACTGCTCGAGAAAAGGAAGAAGAAGAAGCCAAAGAATTACAACGTAAAGCAATGGCCACGCCTAAAAACTCAAAAATTGTAATACCAGGTCGAAGAGAGCCGGGCGTGCCTCTTAGAAAAAGGGGATTTGGTATTTAATAAATTAGGGATGAGCCAGCTCGGCTTGGCTTTTTGAACCAAGCCGAACCGGCTCGAGCTGATGGCTCAAGCCAGCTCAAGTAAGTTGGCTCAAGGCAGCTCAAGTAAGTTGGCTCAATCCAGCTCAAGTAAGTTAGCTTAAGCTGGCATATTATTTACAGCTGTTTTCGAATGATTTTTTCGGCTGATATAATAAAGTTATTTTTGTATTATTAATGATTGACAGATCGTTATAACAATATCAATGTTACCAAATTTTTTCGTTTGAATGCTTGTCTGTAATGATTCTACCCAAACCTATTAGTTTGGAATTAAGTAGAATCTCAAATAGTATTTACTATGTTTCGCAAATTCTATTAATTGGCCGTAATGTCAAATATTCTGACATATAGCTTGTATTACGGCTAATAATTCCGAATTTTTTATATGTAAAAATTAGTTTTGGGACTTATTTCAAATATAGATAAGATTATATATTAGTAATAGAGGTGGAATCCGTGAATATCCACGGATAAAAAAACGAATATTCGATTAAAAGCAAATTCATGAATACGTAGTCAAGGATTAGATCAGTTACACAAAATTTGTTAATAGTCGTGAATATTCGAAAATATTTGCTTAGAATATAGCTAAATTTATGTAATAATATATTCGTAAATTCTCTTACGGATATCCATATAAAATCCGTGGATGGCTAAAACTCGTGAATATTCAATGAATAGACATGACGGATATTCAAAAGAGATGTTACGGGATAGCCTTTGGACAAAGTTTGAACATCTTGGACATTTTTAAATATCAGTCAACCGATTTGTCACACTTATTTGCAATTAAATTTTTTAATATTATAACAAAAACATATAGAATTACTTATAAACTTTGAAGCTGTGATGTTTCTTCCCTTACATATTAACTTTAAATTAAATTTTTGAATAAATACATCAAAAAAAGAAAAATGAAATGCTTTTGAAGTTGAATTAAAATTTTGCAATTTTTGTACAATTTAAAAATATAACTGTCAAAAAAAAATTAAAAGTTTTAAAACAATAATTATATGTAAAATTATACCCTAAACAACTCCAGTTAGGGAATCAAAAAGGTTATCTTAGTAAAAAAAAAAAGTTTTCTATGTATTAATGTCAAAATTTTCAGTTTTTTTATATAAAATTTTTTTTTCTGTTTAGATAACCTTTTCTAACCTCTTAAGCAAATTTGTTCATCATACGATTCTATGTGTTTTATATTTTGTTGATTTTGTTTTTTGAATATTTTACTAAATGAAAGATTGGATCAAAGGTTATACAAAAAATTTTTTTAAAAATTTTTTTAAAAAAAAATTTTCATGTACACTTTGATCCAATCTTTCACTTAGTAAAATGTTCAAAAAAACAAAACCAGCAAGATATAAAATACATAGAATTGTATGATGAACAAATTTGCTTAAGAGGTCAGAACAGGTTATCTAAACAGAAAAAAAAATTTTATATAGAAAAATTAAAAATTTTAACATTAGTATATAGAAAATTTTTTTTTTACTAAAATAACCTTTTTGACTTCCTAACTGGAGTTGTT